ACAAAGAGAGGGTAAAGATTACAATCACCTAAACTTTTAACTTTAAAACACAACCCCGGGATAGTTGAATGAAAATAATAAGTTTGAGGAGTTGTGTATCTCTTGAGCGAAGTAAGGATATATTTGACCATTTTGGGGTCGGAATTGAACCTATCATGAGCTGGTTATATTGGCATGAGTTTACACACACACGGTGAGTTCTACATCCGACAAGTAAAGGTAAATTCTATTCTTGCACTATTGAAATTGTTTCCTATGTTAATTACTGAATTCCAATCCTGAGATAAGGTAAGTTATTAGGCCATGTTTGTTGAGATTTAAGTCACTATCTTGTTTGAGGACAAACAACAGTTCAAGTTTAGGGGATTTGATAAGTGCATTTTTGTGCACTTATTGAATGCACAAACATGACTAAATTACGGGTAAAATATTTAAATTGTGGCTTAAATTTGTTCAATTGTTGGATTGTAGGGTATAGGGATGGACTTAGTGAAATTCACGAGGAAAAGAAGCAAAAAGGACCAAAACAAATCAAAGTGATAGTTCAGGGATCAAAGTGCAAATATTCAAAAGATGAGCCAAAGGAGCAATCAAAAAACTAATAGTGCCAAGTACCAATTGGAGGTTAATATGAGGTGATGGAACAAAATGGTCGAAGAAAAGAGGTCAATAGACAAGAAGATTTAGTTTGGGAATTAAAACGGCACAAAGTGGAAATTTGTTACACCATGCGACCGCATGGTGTTATTTCCATGCGGCCGCACATAACCCAATAGGGAATTCCAGATGCGGTTGCACATAACCCAATAGGGAATTCCAGGACCTAAACCATTTCTACCATGCGGTCGCATGGTGAAAAATTCTTACGCGATTCTGCAATTTCCTATTTTCACCAAAACTCTTCTCGAATTCGATTGGGACGCGATATAGAAACCTGGAGCCATCATATTTCGGGGTAGAATGCATTGAGAGGCAAGAAACCACATCTTGGAGAGGATTTTTTCTGAATTATCGAGGATTTACATGAAGATCATCAAGATTTCAAACAATTTCATAATCCAGTGATGCTTTTTCTTCAATTTATCATGTATTCAGTAATTTTCTCTATGATAGGCTAGATTTTTCATGTACTAGGAGATCGATGTACCACATGATGTGATTTCTTTAATTTCTAGTTTTCAATTTGACAATAAACACGTATTGAATGTTTGAATGATTTATACACAATAATTTTCGTCCATAATTAAGTACACGTAATTATGTGAAGTTTGGTGGTTTATTTCATCTGTTCGAGAGAAGAGAAATAAATTAGACACGGTATAAATCATCGTAGGGTCCGATAGGGAATAGAGATATATCCTTATGCTTCGCATGAATCTTTAGATGTTCATAAAATCACATGCATTCTTATATATGCATTTGTCATAGAGATATAGGCCGGTGGTGTATAAGAATAGGTTCAATACATCTCGAGAGGGAGTGTTGAATAGATTTAGGAGCATTGATTTGTCAATAATTCAATCGTATTGTCATTTTGTGAAATTACGGTTAAGATTGATCATTTCATGGGAATTTGTGATCCTAGTACTTTTAATTTTCATTGAATACAACCAATTCACGTTCTAAACACATAATTTGCATTTTAATTCATTAAAATATCGTTTTGTATACTGAGTTCATTCCAATCTTCTAGTTTGCATAATCAGGATTTTACCAAATTAGGGTTTTTCTAAGAATAAATTCCTGTTTTGATAAATTTGTTTCGGTTAAGGCTAAAATAGTTAAAATTGAACTATTCAATCTTTGTGAGACGATACTCGGAACTTAACATTCCACTTTATTACTTGTTAACGAACCGTACACTTGGGGTGAATTAAATCGAAAGAAAATATTTCGTGAACATCACACTACACAAAGATAAAATTGATGTTGTTTTAGATTAACAAGTTATGTTGTCCAAGGATGGAGAGATTCAACGTTTCCTTAATTCTAATTGTACTTGGATCACCAAGGAGACACTTTAGCAGTTTGATCCTGATTTATTGGAACGTTATAGGAGTAAGCAAGATCTTCCATTACTCGGATCACCAACCTTATGTGTCTATAGATTTCGAAAGAAGTTTATTCAGCTACTTAGTTTGTAGTTGGGAGTTTGATAGCAGTGTTTTATGATTTACCTACTCAACCGTGTAGAGTTTTTCTTCCATCCAAGAGAGTTGATGTGAACATTCTTTGTTGGGCAGTTTGTTTGGGTCATTTACTTATGTTTTATGTCAATTTATTTAGGCTTTATATTTTGTTCGGCTTGTATATAAGTTTGGCCCAAGCCCCATAACTATTAGGTTTATTTTTGTAATTTATATGCTGGTATTGAACTTCGAAGAATCAGTTGATGAATGAAAATTATTCATGTTCATTTTTTGCCCACTTTCCTTCCCCTGCTTCCCTTTTTTTCTTTTTCTCTTCTCCCTCTTTCTCTTCTCCCTCTTTCTTCTCTTCTTTTCCTTCTACTTCTTGCCTGATTCTATTATTTACTTCTTCTCAATCGATAATACATCATATTTATTCTTGGTTTGTGAATGTTTAGTGTAAAATAAGTTGTTACGTGTTGAATATACTTGGTGAAATTCACATTAGTGTAGAAATATAAGGTCGTTGCTTACTTGGGCTCAAGTTGCCGCAACTTCAAAAACTCAATGCTTTTGCTATTGACTCTGGTACAAGCCAATATCTTGTTCCGATAAATTAAGGAAGAAAATAAATATGACAAATCTCATAAACTATTCGTCGAGTGTCATAAAATGGATGAATAACTATTCCAAGTTGATAGCTCTCTCCATATCTTAACATTTTACATTGTTTGGATAAAATTAGTGTATTTATAAACTAAATGAACTATTCACGTAAAAGTAATAATAATTGTAATAACTCAAGATACACTCAATCTTTAAGAATTAGTATAAAGATTTAATCTTTTTTCAACTCGAATTCATTTTGAGATCAACTACGATAATATCTGAAAATGATTTCATTAAGTTGAACATGGCATTATGAAAGTATATGCGAAAATTATTTCAAGACAGCAAATATAATTCTTATCAAGTCAAAAATAAAACTTGTCACAATTTGAGGGGATTTAATTCCTGGAAAAGTTTTGGTGTACAAAATTTGTCCATACCCATCACATAGCCTTGTGAGGAATGTGGGAACCCCTATATACATAAATTATGTATACCAAGTACAACCCTCAATTCCTAACTTTCGGAAACTCATAGGGTAATGAACAAATAAATAAATAAAAAATAAAAAAAGGGGTTAATTTCACAAACGATTATTGAACTTACGCAAAAATTACAAAACGATCATTGAAATTTAAAACTTTCGGTAATAGTCACTTCAGCTTCAGGGCACTTTCAAAAAGGGTCACTAAAGTTTAAAAACTTTTCAGAAATGGTCATTAAAATTTAAAAACTTGCAGAAATGGTCACTGAAATTTAAAAATACTTTTTCAATTTTTAGGGCTACTTTTACGGTAACTTTTCGGCCACTTTTGACCACCAATACCTCTGGATTTTGATATCGTTGGAAAGTCCACAATATACTCTTCAATTACGATCTAAAATCTGCCCCCAACCCCGAAGGATTCGGCCGAAATAAACCCACAAAATTGACTACCCAAAAAGACGAAAATCAGGGCAAATTTTTCATTTTTTGGGTGACTTTTGCGGCAACTTTCGACCACCAAGACCGTCGAATCTTGATACCGTTGGAAAGCTCACAATCTTCCCATAACTTCAAGGGATTCAACCGAAAAATCGCTGCAAAAGTCGCTCAAAAAATCTAAAAATCGAATTTTCAGATTTTTTGGATGACTTTTGTGGTGATTTTTCGGCAACTTCCGGCCGCCAAGACCATCGGATTTCGATATCATTGGAAATCCCATAATATTGTCTTCAATTATCCAAAATCTTTCCCAAATTTCAAAGGATTCAGCTGGAATAAACTCACAAAGTTAGCTACCCAAAAAGGCGAAAATCTGTCCAAATTCGAGATGTTGATTTTGTGGGTTTATTTCGGCCAAATCATTTGGAGTGATGGGGAGATTTTGGATCGTAATTGAAGAAGACATTGTGAGCTTTCCAACGGCATCAAAATCCGACGGTTTCAGTGGTTAGAATTTGCCGCAAAAGTCTCCCAAAAAACTGAAAAATCTGCCCAAATTTTCACCTTTTCGGGTAGCCAATTTTGTGGATTCATTCCGATTGAATCCTTTGGAGTTTGGGAGAGATTTTTAGTGGTAATTGAAGAGGACATTGTGAGCTTTCTAACAGTATCAAAATCCAGAGGTATTGGTGGACGGAAGTTATCGAAAAGTTGCCTCAAAAGTAGTCTAAGAAATTTGCCCAAATTTTTTCTTTTTTGGGTAGTTGATTTTGTGGGTTTATTCCGGCCGAATTCTTAGGATTTTGGGGAAGATTTTGGATAGTAATTGAAGAGGACATTGTGAACTTTCCAACGATATCAAAATTCGACAATTTTGGTAGTCGGAATTCACTGAAAAATCGCCGCAAAAATCGCCCAAGGTTTTCAGATTTTTTGAGCGAATTTTGCGACGATTTTCCAATAGAATCCCTTGGAGTTACGGGGAGATTTTGGGTGGTAATTGAAGAGGATATTGTAGGCTTTCCAACGGTATGAAAATTCGACGATATCGGTGGTCGAAAGTTGTCGTTAAAGTAGCCGAAAAATTGAAAAAGTGTTTTTAAATTTCAATGACCGTTTTTGCAAGTTTTTAAACTTTAGTGACTGTTTCTGAAAGTTTTTAAATTTTAGCGACTGTTTCTGAAAGCGCTTCGAAATTTAAGTGATCGTAACTGAAAGTTTTAAACTTCAGTGACCGTTTTGTAATTTTCGCGTAAGTTCAATACTGTTTGTGAAACTAACGCAATTAAAAATTAATTTCCAAAATTGTAAGCCCCAATTTTACAATCGACATGCCTATATAACCACCGCCATACCCCCGAGCTTCTTCCATTTACACAACGAAAAACCTCAAACCCTAGCCCTTTAATCGCGCAAGATCTGCATCACTATTTGTCTATAATCCACTAATGGGTTCTAAGAGGTCCGATTTCGGCGATGGTGCTAGCCCTGGGTCTGTTCTCTGCCCTTTCTCTCTAAGATTTGATACTGGATGCATCTCTTTGTTATAATTGATGATTAAATTGATGGGCTTTAACTTTTTGTTTTGAACAGGAAGATTTTCATCGGGGGTCTTGCGAAAGACACCACCTTAGGTTCGATTTTCTTTTCTTTTGTTTTTCTAGGGTTTCGTATCATCTTTAAATTGGGTCATAATTTACTACTATTTTTCTTATAAAATTGGAAATTTTGCAGATACGTTTGTTAAGTACTTCGGAAAGTATGGAGCTATTACGGACTCTGTAATCATGAAAGATCGGCAAACGGGTCGGCCGAGGGGTTTCGGTTTCATCACTTATGCTGATCCCTCTGTTGTTGACACTGTTATCGCTGAAACCCATGTCATTAACGGCAAACAAGTGAGATTTTATTTTGGGAAATCTCAATTTGCTTTGTTGGATTATTTGAACTTGAACTTTGCCTAGAAGAAATTAATTTATTTTCATGACTTTGTTTTGTTACGTAAAATTGAACTTCATTTTAAAATAATGGTTGTGCCCGGAGAAAATTTAGTACTCCATAATATATTGTTAATTATAGGAGATAATTATATGATGTGGTGTTTTGTGGTGTCTTATCAGTTCATTGGGTATTTTGGAAAATTAGAAGGAACTATGTCTATTATTTTTTTGTTTTATGTGAATAGAATAAGATCTAGACACCTCCATTAGAGGGTTAATTTTAAAATGAAGCATTATGTGCCGTGTGTTTACACACTTCTTTGGATGTGGCCATTTAAGTGCTTATTGCTATATGACCATGTGAAGACAAGTCTGCAGCTTTGAGAAATTTTACAGAGGTTGACAGTTTTAGTTTGAGTAATGTTGGAGTAGACACGTTAATGTTGCTTCCTGTGGCCAGGTTGAAATCAAAAGAACCATCCCAAAAGGAGCTGCTGAATCCAAGGATTTTAAAACAAAGAAGATTTTTGTTGGTGGGATTCCTACTTCTGTCACTGAAGGTGCATGTAGCATAATTTTAGTCGCTGATTTTTAATAAGCAGCTGCAGTTCATATGATGTTTTTGGGTTACTGATATTGTTCTCTCTTTCAAATTTACTCCTGCTTTTAGATGAATTCAAGAATTTCTTCTCCAATTATGGTAAAGTGGTCGAGCATGAGATTATTCGGGATCACGTGACGCAGAGGTCTCGCGGCTTTGGATTCATTGTGTTCGACAATGAACAAGTGGTTGACAATCTGCTCACTGATGGGAATATGATTGATATGAATGGAACCCAGGTGAGAGTCTTCCAGAGGTTTCTCATAGTATTGGAAGTAATTGAACGTATTTGTACTTATAGCAGGTATTCAGTATCACACTTTAAATGCTTTGATGCTGGACTTCATAGTCTTAAATCTATTTTACTTGTTATTCATCTTACTTTTAACCACTTATGGGTAAATTATGGTGTAAGATAAGGTTATGGGTTCTCTAACATAGCTTGTGATTTTTAGTGCTAAGCTGTCAAACTAATTGCAGGTGGACATTCTAGGTTAACTTTCTTCTTTGTTGTAGGTTGAGATCAAGAAGGCTGAACCAAAGAAACCCTCAAACCCAACACTTGCTTCTGCACCCAGTAGTGATTCTAGGGGCCGTTCATTTGGCGATAGGTTTGGTGGATTCGGCAGTTCTTATAGCAGTTTTGGCAGTGGTAGCCATGGCCCTGCTGCTGCTTATAGGTCACTGGGATCAGGTCTTGGTGGTAGGTTTGCCGACTATAGTGGATATGGTGGCGAAGGTGAATTTGGTGGTCGCTATGGGGATTTTACCCGTAGTGATTTTGGTTATCGAGGAGATGGCCCCCTGGGCTATTCTAGTCGGTTTGGTTCTTACGGTGGAGGCTTTGGTGGGGGGTATGGAAGTGGGTTAGGTGCCTATGGCCGCGGAGGTGGTTATGGGAGCTATGGGGCTGGTCCAGGTTCTGGATATGATTCTGGCCCCGGTGCAGGATATGATTCTGGCCCTAGTGCTGGTTATAGTGGACCAGGAGGATTGTATGGAAGTAGGGCAGGCTATAGTGGCAGTAGTCGTTATCATCCCTATGCCAGGTAGATGTTTGCTTAAGCTCTTTCCTGTAGGAGTTTTCTCGTCTTGGTTTTTGCATCTCATGGATCAGAGTCGACTAGATATTGAATCTGATAGCAAGAAGACAATACTTAGAAGATCAGACGAACTTTAGTCCGTTTCTCTTTGTGTGCCTAGTTTGTTTCTGATTCTGTAGATCAGAGAACCTTGTTGAGATGATTCTATTTAGATGTTTGTTCTGTTTCTCGAGTGAAGACATCTTATACTGTAAGATTTATGTTTTAGTTTAGAATGAGACTCTGCTTTTCATAAAGATTTTCCCATAGATTCTCGTTTCTGAGGCTCTTGTTGCTTATTTAGAAATTAAGTGTGCTTGCTAAAGTCGTCTTTCAGGTTAAGTGTTGTTGTATGAACTTTGTCATAACCAGTTAGGATTATTAGTTTTCTTAATTAAGATATATCTTAGTTCTTTCCTTGGGAATATAGATCTAATCAATCAATGGTACACCTTGTTCATGCCCCATGTTTTAACTGTAAGAAACGACCCATGAATTTTATTTTACCGGGGGGTCAGAAAAATCCTTGTTAAGTAGCGTATTAGAATATCCAGATAGAAGTTCGTGGTGGGAACTTGATAATAAGCTTATTAGTTTCTATGACATTAGAAACGCTCGTTTCTTGGGTGGTGGGATTATGAAATACTGAGATTTTTGAGAGGGATTTAGATTTAGGTATTATGATGTGCACTGAGCATTTTGTGATTATTGTTTAACTCAGCAGCGATAGGTTCAACATTCTAATTCTTTACCAAGTTGATTGTGTAACTTCGATGCCACTGATATTAAGTGATTTGGAAGTTGCTTGTCATGGGATTAAACGTGTTCTTGGGGCGACTGCTATTTTGTTAATTCAATCATATGTAATTTCATCTAATGCTTTTAAGTTCGGTCCTGCTATTGTAATTTTGTACAATCTGGAATATAACTTGTGAATATAAGATGAAGTTCCTATTGGACTGTCTTTAATTAATGCAGTTTTTAACTTGTATATGTATTTATTGTTTGACTCGAGTACAAATGATCCATTTAGTGTCGATATGCACACACACACTAAACATTCATGGCTAGATTCCTGGATTGATCAATCTACTGCTGTTCATCGAGATGACCTCATGTTTAAATTTGATTTTAACTTCCTAATTCTAACCCTGAGGGGTAGTTCAATGATCAGATTTTGGGTTTGATCCTCAATGATCATTAGTTCGAGACCCCTCAGTATCATTGAGGTGAGTATTTGGTTGTAAACTTTAGAGCCCGGTGGAATTCGTCGAGGTACTCGTAAGCTGACCTGGATGTTTATGGTTTAAAAATAAATAAATAAATAAATAAAGATTTTAACTTCCAATGATGCAAATAATTAATTACGATGCTTGCTTATTTCATTTCTTTGAAATTGTCTGTTCTAACAAAGTAGCTAGTAGCACATAAATACATCATCGGTCAAATTCGTATAACCATTTTAGTATAATCTCGTAAAAAAAAGAAAAAAAGAAAAAAGATAGTATAATGTTACATGTGCATGAATGTGACATATTGGTTTACATGTTGGTAAGTTGGCAGGTTTTGGTTCATTGATTTAACAATATCTTTTTCAATTCATAGTTAGATTTTTGACAGATAGGGAGTGATAAAAAATGTGGATGACATACAAGTAGGTTATGCCGGAAAATAATTTTACATACTGAGAATTAAAGGAAAATTGACTTATTTTGGAGTTATTTTTCATATTTCTTATTTGTTCATAAATGATGTTGCATTTGTTAAACTTTATGAGAATCTTGATAAGTGAGATTACAGAGAACCGGAATATGATTGAAAAGTTGAGTCAACGATTAAGGTTCTTTTTCCATTTTTTATTTTTAATGTTGGAACTAATTCTTAATTCCTCTCTTTTAGTCCTGGTCCTTTATTGAGTTACCTTTTTTGAAAATTCATTTTTAATTATATATTTTTTAATAAAATAATTTTATAGGTAAATTCAAATTTTCGTTACTTTTTTATGGAACATTCTTCAATAAAATTACTGTTACAAAATCAATTTCTTAAAAATAAATCTCAAATAGAATCTTAATTGTGTTTTATGTTATTTAAGCAAATGAATGATATCGGTGGGTTATTTAATGAAAAGGCCAAATACTATTACAATTTGGGGTTTCATATTAAGTCTATGTTTGGTGTTGATGAAAATTAAAATTTTAGTGAATTTTGATATAAGTGGATGAAGTGTGTGATTGAAAAGTTGTAGGTTTCATAAAATAATGTTAAAATTAAATGTTGATTTTAATTTAGATTGAAATTTTACTTTGTAGCCCTATTAAAAAGGGGCCAAGTATCGAACTTGTTAACATGAGTAGGGGAGTCTAAATATGTTTTTAAGTAATTGACGTGGGATTTTATAATAACATGTCCATTTTAAGATTGTGGTTCATCTGAGTAGGCCAATTTTGAAATTTAAATTCTTCTAAGTTTTACCGAATTGAATTGTTCATTTGATTTTAACGGACTTTGATACCAAAGGTGCTTGCTTGGATATGTTGGTTAGTATGTTTGTACTTGCATGCTCGAGGAATTGTGTCCTTAACAAATACAAAATTTAAAGGGGGAACATGTGACCTCACTTAACAATGTTATTTGCCAAGACAGAAAATCTGTCCAAAAATATGCGAAGGTGGTCTTGTCTACAAGACCAAAATAAATCTGCAATTGAGAGAGAGCAACATTAGTACATGTGCAATCTATTTGCAGATAGTTTTACATATGAAAATGATAGAAGTGCATAAAAGTTGGACTTGCTCCAAGATTGATGTTAAAATACGAGTCTAGGCAGTGTTATGTTATAGGTTCAATGAAATGTGGATTTAAGTGATTCATTTAATTATATTTTTCATTTAACGTGATATCAGTGCTACCTAAACTGTTGTTTTAATATCAACGGTACTAAATAAAATTATGCGATTAGATTCGATGGTCATGATAGTCATTGCTTTTCTTATGCAAACTTCATATCTACGAGGATTGTAAAAAAAAAAATTCACTAGCACAAGTGACACGCTATGCAATATGAACTTCGACATCTCACCCATCATTTCACCCTCGTCTTCCTGGGAGATTACCCTCAACTCCATAAACTCACTCAATCAACTTAACGATGCTCACGTTTAACTTTAATCAATACTCGACGCATGGGTCAATCGTTGTTATGGTTATTGTTTGTCAATTGGACAATATTAGCATTTGATAGTGGCTTGTTCTAATTTAATTCTTCATATCATTGAATTTAAGCCCCTCTAAAAGGGGCCACGGTGACTAGGTGTTGGCTATCATATTTGATAACCGTTGAAGAATATTGGACAGATAAAAAAAAAAGGGTGAATATTCTACATGCAAAGATTGTTTGATAGGATCAATTCGAAATGCATGCATTGAGAAGGAAAATATGACGTCAATATAAGGGTGGTGGAATACAAAAATCTGATATAGAATAATATTTTAATTTGAAAAATGTTATGTGTACATAATTGTTTAAATACAGTTTTACACTCCCATATGAGGGCGATTCACAAACAATAAAATATGGAAAAATGCCGTATGCGGCTTTACACCCCCCTCACATAGAAGGGGGTTCACGAATATTTTATTACGTGTGGGCCCTTCTCCATGTGAGGGGGATGTAGTACACACAGTATTGTCCTAAAATATGTGTCAATCTCCTTTTATGTAAGAGGGATGTAAAGCTTTGTGAACATAACATTATTCTCTTAGTTTATACTCGTTGGCAGATGTACATTGGGGCTTGGTGAGTCACGTTTGACCAACTTTCAAAATTTTAGTTTTTTCATTTTTTTTAATGGAGAAATAAAAAAAAAAAAAGATTAAACACATTGGCAGATAATTCTATTTAATAGCTCTGTAATATCTCTCTTTTATCTCTTCTTATCTCAATTAATTAACCACAGCCTGTCATATTTGTTTTCACTAGGAATTAATTAAGAAATATAAAATTCATAGTAGCATTAAATATGAGTCTGAAATGCCTAAGCTGTCAAGCCACGAGAAGCACAGATTCAAAAATGATCATAGAGAATTACAATTCATTAATTCGAAGAAATCACATTCAAGCCAATGGTTGGTAAATCAGTGACAACTTTTTGGCAAGTTTGATTGTACCTCCTAACTCAAAACTATCTGCATTCGTCACAGGTGTATATAGCTTAAAATAATTTGAGCTTTTGCATTGATTTTGTTTATTTCAAAGCACAGAGATCTTCACCTCTACCTCTAATTCCCTCACCCCTTCCCTCGAATGTATGAAAATGTTGAAAATTAGAAATTTTAATTCTATTTCATTGAAAGCAATCAATTTGTTGAAAGAAAGATATAGATGCTCAAGAATGCACAAGATTTACAGAGGTTCGCTTTAATTTGAAACTATATTCTTTTTCATCATTGTAGTAATTCATTATGATGAAAAAAGTTTAAAAGAATAATTGTATACCATATTTTCTCTAGTTATTCTCGCTTTTTATGGTAATATAAAACTCTAATGGCGACTCCTTCTTTATAAGATAAATTAGAATATATCATCGAAATTACAAATGTGAAATTTCTAAACTGAATTTTGGTAAAACTGGTATTGAATCAATATTGAAATTTTTTATCTCCTCTTCCACGATTTCTTTTAAATCATCTGCATCTTTGGCTTTTGTTATTCTTCTCTTGTTGTCTTGCAAGACTTGCACCATCGATTCTTTCTTCCTTTTCAATGACTTCTAAGCATTAGCTTGTAAAGTGTCCACGACTTAATCCATAGTCATTTCTTCCAAATCTTTTGATTCTTCGATTGTCACCACCATAATAAAATTGATTTTATCATGTAAAGATCGATTATTTTATTTTATTTTATTATTTTTTAACTTATTTCTTTCAATTTTTTTTTTTTTTTTTTTTTTTTTTGTTGTTTGACAACTTTTTTTTCCCCTTTTTTTTTTTTTTTTTTTTTTTTTAATTTTTTTTTTTAATTTTTTTTTTTTTTTTTTTTTTTGTAGCAGTTGACAGACTTAATTCGCCCATTTGTTTTTACTATGCCACATCTGTATACTGTTATGGGAGTAAATAAATTATTTTTTGAGAAAGTTTTTAAACTGGTTCCATCGAACCTATCGAAACGAACCATGTCTTGGTTTGTCAACTTGATGGTTGCCAAAGTAGTTTTCGTCTCCATGCAATAAAGTATCACTTTTTAGATTGATAAAAAAATATAGAAGAGGAGAAGGAGATG